ACTAATTGAAGTAACAGTAACATTTATTTCAAAACATGAAATGCTACTATCTTATCATTAAAATTTGATAAAACAATCCGAATTATATAAAATCACACGTGATTCGGATGACTTTTAATTTGTGTCACTTCGTATAACATAATTCATATTTTAAAGTCTAATATCTTCGGAGGTAGCCAAACCGCCGAACATCTCTTCTCCTCTCACCCCAGCGCTTCTTCAGGAACATGAGTTAATCGAGTGTTGTTTAGACAGTTGTTTTTATCCAGTTTAATAATCTCACAGTTAGGCTTTGTTAAAATTAACACGCCTCTTTTTGCTCTTTGTATTATTTCGATACTGCCCGTTTCGTTCCAGCATTCACCACCTTGTACAGAGAGAAACATGTTGAACATGTCGTGATAACAATGCAATTGGGCGACTTTCTCTTAAAAATCGGCAACATTGTGTTAAAATAGCCCTATAACATCTGGACAGAAAATGTACTATGATATTGTGTTAATGTTAACAAATGGTCTGTTTCCCAACACTGCGCATTTAACACCTTTTATTGTGTGGATGCATATTTGCAGATTCATTTTATCAGTACTTAAAATATTTCACCAACACCATCGTTTTGAAAACAATGTAATGTGTACTCGAAAACCGACAAGATATTTTCGTTAAAATCAACAAGAAGCACATTTTCAACATGATAATTTCACAATGCTATACTTTGTTACGAAAACGCGTTACTGTTAGATAAATACTTTATATCTTTTTCAGTTTTCAACATTTCTTTGAGTACAGATAGCTCCTCTGATGGCAAATGTGTGATATACCCCTTGGCGCTGTGTATAAAATCTTGATTAGACTATGTTTAAAGTTTGAGGCTACATGCAATATGGGTGATTTTTCAGCGCAGGACAGGATTCATCATCGTTTGTTTTGTACAGTTTATTCAGTTCTTCCAGCATGTTTTATATAAACGTGAAATACAACTTGTGTCACACGGGGCTGTGTTAATTACATGTGCTATGCCACGGGTGTCGCAATTCCTATTGTGACGAAAAGTATTCCAAGCTTCCATAGGTTCGATCAAATGAGATAAAGTCAATAGAACTATGTGAGTCACGTTCACGGAGGAAAACGGGAAAACTAGCGCAGTGCCTGACGCATATAGGACAGTGAGTGATATCTGTGTGTAAATTACCTTATAAACACAGCGCTGCAACTTAACCTGGAAATTTAAGCAACATAATGGGGGTTATCAATCACTGGGACCCCTTTCACGCCTCTCCTTTTGAAGGACGCGAGGGTGATTATCTACACTCACATTTTACATGGAGATCCTTGCGATAGGTTACTATCGGATATATGTCACGTGTAATTGCAATTATAATATCAACTATAATTATAAATATGGATTCGTATAAAGCGGTATGTGGGCACATTTAACTCAAAAAAGCTTATTCTAAAAAAATATAAATTTCAGAGTGAGACAAAAAGTAACTTGAACGTGTTAATTTCCTGAAAGACTACATTGATTAACATTCCAGTACTTGCAATCTACTTGTAGTTCAAAATACGAGCGAAATCCTGTACAACTTACTCTCCATCGTTCACACACGCATTTTAACGCATGCTGCATATAGACCTTTCATGGGCTATATATGATGACGCAAACTTTATCTTTAGCAAATTCATACCCCATTTAAAGGACAGGGACTAATCTGCTTCTTCCCAAATTAAACCACTTTTGAAATAAAACAATATTTTTCTCCCCTAAGCTTTACATTGTTTTCCAATGAATCGGTGCTTTTGCATTCACTAATATAGAGTCTGTGGTAGGCTGCACATTTACTGCTTGTGTCTGCGGGAGTTGTGTAAATCCTTACCAGTCGCCTGCTTTGTCTAGATGCGGCCAACGCATCGTTTTTCGTGCGCAACGCTGCAATCATTTCTAACAACCATGCAGCAATAAATGTGGGGTTTTATAAGCATCTATTCCTCTTTTTCTCGGTTTTTGAGAGCATCCGCCGGCAAACTTTTGAACTGGCGGCGCCTGCGCTGTTCGGGCATCATCAGAAAAGCAGTAGGGGTAGTGGCAGTAGCTAGGCAAATACGTAAATCACACAGCACGCTGCCTCTTATTCGATCGCGTTGTTATTTTATCGCGTGTATCAGCAAAGACACGATTGTTTTAATTCATTTCCAACGTGAATATGGATAATGAACAATTATTTGGTTCTGTTATAGCGCACATAAATGCATTTTGAAATAACAGTGAACTCGTTACCACTCAGCATATAACGAGTAGTTCTATGTGACAGAGCAGGTTCCATAGTTTCGATTATTTAGATTCTAAAATACATTAGTTTGAATTGCCTGTTAAACTTTAAACTTTGGATACAAATGTACTTAAAGGTGGAAACTACATAAACTCAATTTATATATTGCTTAGCTGAATGCTGTGTGTGCTATGTAACTCGAGCTTGTGCTTATGTTACAGAATGACAATGAGGTTCTGGAAAACGCTGAAAGCATTTCTGTCAATATCCCACAATATGTTTATATGAGACAGGGTAAGAGACTAACGCACCAACGGGACAAAGACTGACAGACGAATGTCCAAGTGCTTATATTTATTTGTTCCTTAGGGCAGAGTACATTAAGTTCAAGTATCGAATACAGTTGAATCATTAACAAACTTCAGATATAAATAGAAAGGTATTTTAAAATATGTTATTGCATGGAAACAATAAACTTGAGAATTCCGGTGATTTATAGATGTTACTCATCAATAAAATAAAAATACGCTGCATTCACAATCTTCGTAAAAGTTTTGATTTTAAAGGTGGAAAGTGGAAATGGAGTGGAAGAATCTCTTTATATAAGACGGGTACAGACTTTCCACATCACTTTTAAATTCACTTAAACTCATTTATTAATTACTGGATTGCACAAATTTGAAGAAACTCCAAGAAGATTATCATTTAAGAACTTTCACTAACCTACTACAATCTCTCTGACATAACTAATTGACAGCAAATATAACCAGAAATATGTTCAGTATTAATCACATGTGCCATCAATTAGAAATGCTCATTAAAATGATCAGAATCGAATGGGAAAAGGTTAAAATTAAAACAGTGCTATCGAAACGTATCATAAAAGTATATAATGTATCTGATTCTCTCCCTTTGAGGGGGAAGCTACCTTCTGTCTTTCTCGGATGCCACATACAGACAGAGATGAAAATGTTTATTTCAAAACGCTACCGATGAGAACTATAAAAAAACTAGGCCAGTTCAACGCAAATAGACTGGAAATATTCATGGTTGATATGGGCCAGCGCTAGATGACCAACTCCAGTTTAAAATGACTATAAAAACGTCCACTCCAACATGCAGAGATCAGAAAGGACGCATTAGCTAACAAATTGTTACTCTAAAGTCGTAAAACCTTAGGGGAAAGCAAAGGAGATTCCTAAACAAATTAACTAGTAGACATTATACAGCTTGTAGCGTTAGTAATATCTATACCTGGGACGTTTCCTGTATTATGCCCTACACAAAGAATGCACACGCAGTTGCTGTTAAAACTATAGCTTTTCATGATTTTCCGATTTTGAAACAAATGTGATTGTTGCAAAATGTTTAATAAGGATTCTAATAATAAGGATTCTCGATGACTGATTTCAACTGTGTAGAGGAGATACAGCCCTCTTGAAGATAAAAATGTTACCTGCCATGAACTGGCGATCAGTCAAGGTCGTATTTCTAAATATATTCGTTAATATTTTCTCAACATTTGAAGACAATTAGCAAACCTAATTATTGTGGAAGAGACTATTTACCATCAGATATAAAAAGTGTGCACAAAAATTCACCTTCCATATTTCAGTTCGAGATGATCAAATTATCTGAAAATAAAAACAACTTCAAACTGTGTCACCATCAGCGGGCTTAGACGGATGTTTCGGGTGGGGACAGTTCCACTTCATCTTCACAAAAACAACTCAAGAAACGACACAAGTAAGAAAGCGTTTAAAGTTCTTCGTGTATTTTAAAACGCTGCAAAATCGGCCCATCCATATCTTCCCCTATAGAGCTATCCTGGCTTGAATAAAACAGTGAATTGCAATTCAAATTTCACAAAACTGGCAAAGAAAATGGAAAACCTTGGAATGAAACGTGCGAACATTCGACCTTTTCGACGTGTGTAAGCTAAGTGAAGTCTGTATTGCTGAGCCGGCGTAGGAGAATGGAGCTGCTAAGTAAACAGAAGTTACGGCTTCAAAAGTTATTGAGCGTTTATAAAAAGATCTTAGACCAGACAAGCAATATAACTGCAGGTGCACGGGGCTGAAAATATAGTAAAAATGAAAAGTTGGAGAAGACTTTGTCACACTGTAACGAGTCTGATTAACATGCCCCTGACACTCTTTCTTAGTTTACTAGAATCCTAGCAACAGCAGACAAAGAGATTGGGTTTTAGTGGGGTCCGCTGGGAGACGGTCCTGCCTTTGATCTGTCACCATTAAAGTGAGAGAGTCAGTTCAAACTATCCAGAGTGTAGAAAAGCATCGTCCCACTCCTAGAAACTTCACAAGCCGCACTCCATTGAGAGGGGATTACCTTTCACTAAAACACACAGCAATCCAACACAAGGATCACTTTACTAGCGAGGGAAATGACATTCAGTCAGACAACTTTCACTAGCTTCAGGTTAAACGTTAACCCTTTGCACACATCGCAGTATCAACTTTTTGAACGGGGTAGCTATTCAATCTGGACATTAACTTCAAATGTACACAACTGCTTTAAATGCTATTGGTACTAATATTAAAAATACTTTTAACATTTTAACCATGTGCCACATAAAAGCAATTGTATGGTATAGAAAGACAATACATTCATATCACGTAAAAAAAACAACCTTTTAGTTCTACTTCAGACAACACAGACGAGTACTGCCTGGACACATATCTGGACACGAACTGAAAAAAAAAAATATTAAAATTATTCGTTTCCATAAAAATATTCTGGGAACTGCCTTTTCCCTCAAGTATATCAAAAATACGAAAGTTGTCTTTTGTCCGTTCAGTGCACAAAAACAAACGTTTAACAAAATCTATGTCTATGTTGTGTAATTAGTACGATGCATTTCACTTTATATTTTTATTGCGTAGGCTTCAACCTTAAAACTTTTAAATCAGCAAAATTGAAACTGACAAGGAAACTGCGTTAAAATTTGGATAAAATCACTTTTGTAGTTCAATATAATTTGGATTTTAGTAATCAGTTAATTCAAACGTTTTTTCTGTCGCATGAAAATATTTTTGCTATATATTTCATACTGAATTAAGCGGTAACTTCAAACCTGGAGTTCCCATATCAAATATTTTAAAATTTAGTTGATCGGAAACTTAAAATCGGTATACATATGCTACAGCATCGTCATGTTTGAGCTAAATTAATTTGCAACAATAGATCGTTTTTGCTTGACCGAATATTCATTGTGTAGTTAATAAAGGATTAGTTTACTAGAGTGGAAAAGCCTCTTTCACTCGAAGGAAAAAAAAAACTTAACATTTTATGAAACAATTCATAGAATGAATGTTTCATTAAAAGGGACCTTACACCGACGTTTAAAAAAGGTAAAAACTTTGTTTTTCATAAAACACAAGAACACGTTTGCGAGCTCTCACTTGGTTAAAAAATAAATTTGCGGTTAATCACTTCATGGTCCCGAGAAGCTTGATCAATTATAGGTTTAGTTTATAATAAAGTGTCTCGAGTTTCTCCTTCCATGGTTTTATCTGCCTAATTCCAGTGGTTAACATGATTTTGAAAATGCCTTATTTTTTTCTTTATTAAAGGTATTTAATTAGAAGGATGGAGAAACTGTTCCTGCATAAAATGCGCTGTCTTGCATAAAGCTGAATTTTGGGATAATGTGCATAAAAGTAATAGTTTTCCGAGAAAAACAATAAAGAACTCGAATAAAAAGCCCAACTCTAAAGATCGAAGACGGAAAAATAAGAAAAAAAACTTCTCACTTTCAATGTAAAAATCTAGTTGGAGGGGGTGAGGGCTGTTTGTACAAAGACCCATCCGAAATCCTGAGCGCAATTATAGCCCCATTAGGTGCACTTCACTAACATTAATATGCACAAAATCCTACTGGTAATCTCGTAATCCGTTTTGTTTCACGAATCCCCTAGTTGCAGAAAGAAGTGCCCCCAATCTTAAAACTTTTTTTTAAAAGTAGATCTGAATAAGCGGCTTTTTGATAATGAATGGATGGATGGAAATGTACTTCAGAAAGACAAAGGATACTTCTTTCTCATCCGTTCTATTTTCTTTCTACAAACGAACCACCTACGGGGTATAATAAGTAAGTCGATGTAAAAAAATGCTAACACTTCACATACATTTAGCGAGCTTCTGTAGAGGTTTGTCAATGTAAAAATATACTCGCGAATCGCTTCTCCTTATCAAGAAAGTGCTGAGGAGAATCGGAAGAATACATTCTTCAGTAGCTTTCAGATGAATTAATAAGTAGCTGATGCATCTTTAAAGATGATAATAACAATAACCATCAAGCATTAAAGCAAAACTGGATTTTCATTCGAGCATTTTTTTAGACTTCTGGGGTCGAGTTTGCTCTCAGTTATGCTTGGGATTTTACAGAAAATAACATACATTCTTGGTTACTTTTTGTTTATATACTTTAAATTCACATTTTATAATCTAGTGTCAATGATGAACCGAAAACAACTAAGGAATATTTAAATACTATCAGAAGCGCTGCCTTTACCTCCTTCACACCAATTATTACCAATCCTGCCCGCTTCAATTTTATTACTGTTATGTCTCGTTTCCCAAGCGAGTGAATGGCTCCAAAGGCCCCTTGCCTTTAATTTAAACGATACATTTTATTGCATTGAAATAATCCTTTGTTAAAATGAGGTTGTCACAGATTGTCATTAGCACACTAGTAAAACAATGAAGACATTATTTGGAGAACCCCCGGGCGGGAAATTAGGGGAATAAAACAATCTTTACCACACGGGTCCTATTGAGATTAATGAAAAAATTATGCAAAACATTTCATTTTAATTTTCCTCTGACAGTGCTTTGCATACACACATTCCGCACAGTATTATACCTGATGATTTATTAAACCAATCTAAGGATACATTCAGCTTTGCACTCAAGGAAATTGTGTTCCTATCTCATTTTCAATATAATTGAATCTCGTCAGGTTTTGTAAGAATTTAATAGTGTTAATTGTAATTTACTCTCTCAGGGACTACTAGTAAAATGTATTTAAATCTGCTGCGAGGGCTGAGAAGATTATGTCAACTTGGAAATACAACGGACATGCCACATAATATTAGAAGGGAATCCAGGGGAAGAAGTCACATTCCTGTTATCTGAAGTAATGTGACAATTAAATCAATAAAATTAACAAAACGCATAGGCAAACCCAGGGTATCCAATTTTAATATAAAAATGATTATCACTTTGATCATTACAAAACCCATCAAATACTAACTGACTTCTGGGAACAAGACCCTTGCTAATTATCCTTCTGGGGGTAGGGGGAATGTTATGTCTAAGCAATTAGAACTGTACTCATACAGGATTCCTAAATAAGCGCAAAATTGACTTTCAAGCTTAAACCCTCATTTACTGACAATACATTCGAGTCAAGCAGGTATTCCTTTCATAGAAATTCATACGGTTTTCAAAATCTTAGAAGAAGAAATGTATCGCACTGAAATTGACCATGAACCCTCACTAGAAAGTCAGGCAAGGAGGGCCGACCAATGCAGTTGTTACAATAGCAGACCGTTCTGAATTAACACCTGTTCTGTATTATTTACAGTCCAGGGTGACAGAGCTGTTAAGGAATAGCTTGCATTTTGAAGTTGTAACTATAGACATTTCTAGATTTCTGAAGAGCCATCACTCAAAATAAATGTCTGAGGCGGTAGGCCCTAAAGTGAGTTTGGGGAAAATTCACACCAAAACATACACTTACAGTTAATTCTGTCAGCCTTAGGATAGGGGTTTTAACTGTGGGCTAAGACTTGACTCAACATCAGCACGGTCCTTCCAAACCTGGAGAAATGATAGCAGTTGAAACCTGAGATTGAGGGAAACAAATGTAATACCATTAGAAAATTAAAAATAAATGAAAGCAAAAGGCCCCCAAAAAAGTTTGTGGCCGAGTGCCAGGAAGCCAGCTTATTGTTAGGCCTTTGGCTGGGCACAGCAGTGGGTTTGATCTTTTTGTCTGGCATTTGCCTGGCATAAACCTCAGACACAATTGATCATGCAAGATCAAGCCCACAGTCACCAACAGATGTGTCAAATATTCAAACAGTTCACTGTAAATGACTGTTCTTTCTAAAAACTTGTCAACAAAGAGTGAAACCAAAACCAAAAAACAAAATATCTGAAAATAACATGCAAAACAACAAGCAAAAAAGGAACCCTGTTCTTCATGAGACAAGCCATCTGTAGCAGTGGTGTAATTCAAGAGAATTACATCATCTCAGATAGGACCGCTGACAATATTCTCTTAAAGTCTGGGAGAGAATGTCCTGTTTGTAGGGCTCAGGGTTATGTTTTTGGTTAGTTTGTTTTACTGTGGATGTTGCATAAGAGAATGAAGATGTGGTGCCACACAAAAAGCCATTCTTTAGAGAAAAACATGAATAGCAGGCGACAAGGGAATGACAAAACAAAACAAACTTTAAGATTGCTGTATATTTACATACAAAAAATCAGCCAAACAGCCTCTCCTGCAGTGTTTGTGTAAGTGAGGCTGCCCTGCCGCTGAGGAGGTCAGTGTAGGGCTGATGCCCAGTTTAAAAGTATTCATCCCCACTTCACAGAGAACAGTGCCTCATAGTAAGTGCACAAAGGGCTGTGATTTAGTAAGGGGTCTGAAACAAAATCTGAGATTGTTGGTTTAAGAAAATTCATTGAGGTTCTTTGGCAACCACAACTTTGATCTAGTGCAGCTTGGAGGAAAAAAAGAAAGGGAAAAAAACACTTCAGCTCTTTGGTTTGGAGTATGGGATGAATAGTGGAACAAGGACGAGTTGGTCTGTTTGTTTACCCTTACTCCAAGCTGACTAAACCCCAGCAACTGGAGAGCGACTCTTCTGACCTGCGGGTAGCAGGAGGCAGATTTTACACAGGGGTCTTCAAAGAAGCAGAGTTAGGCTATCCTTCTTTCTTCAAAAAGAAAACACATGCTAAGAACAAAGTCATACTCATACCATTACTTTCTTAGATGTTTGTGTTGAACAAAATCAGGATTTATAAGTATGTCCAAAAAATACAGATTTCAGGCAGCTTATTCTTTTCAGGAAATGACAAGATATAAAAATCTTATGTTTTGGCATTTTCCTCAAATGTGTATTTGAGTATTTTTTTATTGGTGGTTTTTCAAAGTGGGTTTTACACTTTTGACTTTTATTTTAATTACATCATGGTCAATAAGGTTATTAAAACAGTGCTATGATTGCTCAATTAACTGGCAGTTAATGGCTTAAAACATCAAGTGTATTTTTCTAAAAAAACGTGTCAATAACAAAAAACCTCAGTTTAATCCAGGAGAAGAGAGTCATTCATCATATAGTGGGGACATGGACTTCAGGAGCAGGTGTTTTCTTCTGAACAGCCACAGCCAGAGTGACAATGTTCTGTGCCTGCTTTAACGAAGGCATGTCGATCATAGTGCCATGAAAAGTAAATGCACCCTGGAAACAAAAAATATAACAAGAGCAGGTCTTACTTCCATCAAGTAAAGTAACTATTGTGTGAAGAGCATTTGCTTTTTACTTTCTTGCCTTGAGATGGACATAATTAAAAAATAGCATGGTCCTAACAGTCAATTATTATAATTATTATTTTTAATGCATTAGAGAGTTATGTGCAAAGCCAATTACTACAGATTAAATTTGAGGAAAAATACAGAGAAACACTGTAAACATCATGTTAAATATTCTGTATTTTAGGTCCAAATTGCAATGTACTATCATGGTGTCAAAATGATTTAAATAAGAGATGTTTGCTTGTTCACTTATCGGTGGCAAATCACTAAAAAATAAATTAAAGCAATTACAACTACACCGAAAATGATAGTTGTTTTTTAAAACCCACCCTTAAAAACTGATTTATTTCACCAAGTTGGAATGTTTAATCCAGAAAGAAACCCTTCATGCTAAAGATAACCAATGGTGCAATTTCTTATGATATAGCTTGGCAGGCTTCTTTTACTGTGTTGAAGTGAGATGACAGAAAGTTGGATACAAGCTGCAGCGTCTGGTTTTCATACATTCTTGAATAGCGGTTCGGTAAAAGTGATTTAAAAATTCCTCTATCTCACATCTCAGAATGTAAACCGAAATTCTGAACATGATCCTAATCAGCTCTGTAAGATTAGTTTACCTTAAAGAGTACGTAGGAGATTTGTTAATGAAAACAAACAAATAAAAAAAAAACAAGTTAGAACTTGTCATGGTGCAACCTTTAAAATAATGAACTGACAACGCTGCAAAACTACTATTGTCCCTCCAGGCTATTTCTAATGTACGAATTGCTGGCAGGTGGAGGCAGATTGTGCTTCACCACTGCAGCATCTAAGCAGCAATAGCCCACAGAGCAGAAAAGAGAAGATTCAATGATGCACTAAATTAGCAACAATAATATTCTACACTTAATTTGTTTTTCCATTTTAAAATCTCAGAACATTAAACTCCACTTTACTTGGATGAAGATATTTATTCTAAAGTGGCTATCAATTCCATAGCGCAAATATGATAAACATTCTTCCAAGTATTGCCAGAAAAAAACTCATTTGGCCAATCTTGGAATCATGGTCTGTGTATTCAAAATGAACCACCACATCACGTTTATCTTAGCTTGCATTCTTTCAAAAAGTACAATATATTTTCATAAGCACCAATGCTTACCTTTCCTAACTTCTGGTGCTCTTCAAATGCATCTATCAGTTCCTGAGCCCATCTGATTCGTTCTGGACTGGGGGAAAACTCCTCCTGAACAATCTTAATTTGGCTGGGATGAATCACCTGTTTACCTTTGTGAAGATGAGTACAGCACAAATTAATACGTTTACAGGGTTTTGAGTTTTGAGTTTGCAAATAATTTTTTAATGGAAGACATGCTTAAGGCAAGAAGCTCAGATAATTTAGGAAAAATGTTATTGTTTCAATTAAAATATATGCAAACTAAAACATGTCATTAAAATATATGCAGATAAGCTGGATGTAACCTTTTTTAAAAATAAAAAATGAGGTAAATCGCTACACATTTGTGAAGGAATTTCCATATGCAATGCATTTTTTTTCATAGGAAAATACATTTCATCAATCTATTTTTAATGTATCAGGCTGCCTTATAATAAAGTATTTTAAGTAGTTTCCTACTCAAATCTATAATATTATATCAAAGGTCAATTGTTTCCACTTCAGCACTCCTAAAACTTAGCAAAAAAGATCAGGATCATCTATATTTTAATTGTTTAAGCATAATTAAATGTTTTTGAGTTAAAACTGTGAAAACACTGTTACATCTCTGCATGATGCTGATTTGCCTTCAAAAATAGTTATCAACCTAGATAAGAAAAAAATCAATGCAATGTCTTAAACTAAATGCACAGTGTTCCTGTGTATCTAAAACAGATGTTTCATACTATTTTATTTTATTTGTAAAATTTTTTTCCAGTATTGTGATGTTTTGAGGAAGGATTTTCAATGCACTGAATGCCTGGGTCAGAAGCTACATTTTCAGGTTCTGTTCTGTTCCTAATATTTACACTCTATCTTCTCAGGCAGTTCCCAAGTTGTCTGAGACTTCTAAGGAAACAGCAGGGACAGAGGATGCTATGAATCATAGCTCATCATGGGTGTCATCCCGATTTTCAGTCCGAGCTCCAAAAAGCTCTGCAACTTTAGTGTGAGCTCAGTTAGAGTTTAATCCTAAATGTTCAATGTCTTGCCTTGGACGTAGGCTTTCACTGAAGTTGTTTCGTTTGCAGTCACATCATTGTAAAATAGATATAGATGTCAGGCTGAAATGCGGCAATTATTAAATAGCTGAACCACTCGTATTAATGAACAACCATAAGGGTGAAAAATTGCAAGCCATTATGATGTACGACCGTGAAATCCTGTTTTTACAGTGCCATTTGATAGATCTTGTTTTAGATCAATACCTGTCATGTCCCGTAGGTAAATGTAAGACACTGTCATTTTTTTTTCTCTCTTCACCAGAGGAAAATAAAAAACTAAAAGCTATCATCTTTCAAATTTATGTCTCTCTTCACAGGATGTGTTTTAAGTCTCAGGAAAATGAAGAAGTCATCTGTGGTCCAGGTTTCACTGAATGCCAGCACTTTGCAGTTGAAAAATTAAATGTCAGAACCACCAATAATAAACATCAAATAGAGCTTGCCCAATTTCCAGCTTACCTTGTAAACTCTACAAAACCAAAGCATCACATGAACTGTTCCAACAGCTAAACCAACCACATAAAATTCAGACTGAGTGCAAAGAAAATAATGTGGTAAATACAATTAGAACATAACAGAAAAATATCATTTTATAATGGTGTATCCATATTTTGCTACATTTCCTTTTTTTGTCTACCATCACTGACAACGTTTCTTATAAGTAAATACTATACCACTAATTATTTTACAGTTCTCTGTCATTTAAAATAGAGCTGAAAAAGTTTGACATAACATTGTATTCAATGCTTTTGGGGGTAATTTGTTTCTTTTTCATGTTATAATTAGTCAAAATGTATTAATCTTCAGATACAGTATATACACTCTATAGTCTTCATATTTTTATATTTTGCATTTCTATATTGTAAAATGTTGACATATTACATATTATTTCTGTATTGTAAATGCTGACATTTACTGTTGATATTTTAGACAGAAGGCTTAACTGTAGATTCATTTTTGTCACTTAATTGTATTCAGTAAATTTAGTGATAAAATAAAACTTCATGATGTGAGTACAAAAATCGATATTTGAGTTAGAACAAATTAGTCTTACAATGTTTATTAATATACAGTATAATATTCCTGTTCTTTAAAAAATGTTTTACTCAGCTACAAGGATTGATACTTTTTTATTTAAAATGGATTGGATATAAAACAATTATTTTTTTAATAAAAATATTTTACAGTGTTAATTGCTTGTCATCTTTTGAGGTTTCATTATTTCATCTCCTTATAGTCAGCACATTACTGGATCGTTCAGCTGAAGTCAGCCATTTTAAATTGCTTATTTTTCACAGGCACTGCCTCCTCTCCTTCTTTTGTAGTGACCTGAGATGGAATATACACAAAAAATTACCACCTGCCTGATATACAAAAACCCCACTTACCGAGAAAACGGAAACTTCAGCTGAATGCATTTCTTATCTCTGTGGTGCTGTTCTGACAGACTTCCAAACGATTTTGCCCATCTTCTATGGTGTGGAGTGCATGACGATTTCTTTGGCTTAATTTCATTGACTTCTAATTAAATAATGCAACTCCACTTTAGAAACTTAATCGTCTTTCCACTCAGGGGGACAGTTTAGCTTGAAACACAGTTATAATAATAATAATAATAATAATAATAATAATAATAATAATAATAATAATAATAATAATAATAATAATAATAATATAATTTTAATTTCTGAAAAATACTGTGTAGCTAGCACAAATTAGCACTGCAAGGCTTAATGTTGTTTCAAAGCAACTAATTCTTAAAGGTATAGTGCTACATGCTAACAACAACATAACAATAGTCTCACCTGCTCACATAAATCTTTATGTAATTTTTAGGCTTTTTAAAGTATTGCTTTCCCTTTTATAGCACAACATATAATGTATATTAGTGGAGGCAGGTTTAAGATTGATCAGATATGTTAATATTTCTTAGGCAAGGGTTTATCACTGTGAAGATACTGCTAATGACAGATACTGTACTTAATCACAAAGGTTTTCTTTAAAAAATGGCCAACCTGTCAGAAACTTTCTCATAATTATCAAGACTTTTTATGCTTTGTCCTCTTCTCTGTAAAATCTTTTATGTTCCACTCAAAAAGTGTTATGACATATTCCAAACTACAAGAGTTGCTAATGGTAGGGAAGAAGCTGAAGAACTGTTCAAGCTGGCTGATAAATGTCAACAGCACTTTCAGGTGCACAAACTCTGCAAGAACGCAGTGAATGTCAATACATGTTGAAAATGAAGGGGATGAGAAAAGGAGAACGTTACCAAAAAGAGGTTTTGAAATAAAGTCCTTTTTGCTGGGTATGTGCTGTATACTGTAGCAGCCCAGTGTGCCTCTCCTGAACACACCTCCCTCCCTACCAGCACATTAGCTGATGTTACTCCGTATTTAAATACTATCCTTTACGATTTGTATAATACGCCTGTATGTTTTCATTTCCTTTTACATGCAAAATTCCTGCATGTTTTACATGCAACAAACGGCTGAATTCACTTCAAAATGGATCGGATTCAGTTAGAAAAAGACCTGAACTGCGAGGAGGAGGGGGAGCCCAGGAGAGGTTTGGGGAAAAAACAGCAGCATGTGTATGTTGTGCGTAGAAGATGGTTTTAGGTTTTTGCAACTGGTTTCTCAATGTAAAGAGAGCCTGATAGGGCACAGAAGCTTCAATGGGTCTAGGACACCAGAAATCACCCTCACCACAATCCCTGTTCCTTCCCCCTTCACATCAAGGGCAGGGAGCTGCTACTAAAAGCCCCAGTGTCCCGGCTGTCACACACACCCTCAGAGAACAGAAAGTGGCACAGACAGGAAGTCAGGGGGTTTTCCTTCACACGCTATTTCGATCTAAGTAAATACACCCCTCTTTGCAATCCTGCCACCTGTTCTACAGCCATCCAAGTTCAGCTACAGCTAGAAGAGTGACGTTGTGGCAGGTCTGAGTGGCTTGATGCCACTCACTGCACTGCCATTGGCTCTTCTAGTGGAATGGTCTGGCTACTCGTCCTCTCAGCCTATAGCGTTCTGCCATCTGTGCTCAGCACCTCTTCGGAGCTTTTTGACTAATCTGAGCCTCCATATAAAACAGGGTAGTGTGTGGTGCCGCGGTGCAATATAGGACTCACATATTCAATTAAAATTTAGTTTTAATGCTCTCGGGTCAACATACAACCATAGCAAAGATAGCAATCGCTGTTTTGCATAATCGGCAATACACACCCATTGGTAGTTCCTCCACACAGAGATGGATTGTGATCTAATTGTATTGTTATACGTATAGAATTTTAAATGCAAGGAATTGTGTACCCACTGCTTAAAAATACATCTTTAAGTTAAAAAGATCAATCTATCAATTCACAAAAACCTCACGATGCATCATCACCCAGATAGTTGACCTTGTCTCTCATTCATCACCTTGACAATTGTCGCACAAGGCTTTACTTGCAAGGGTCAAATTATCTAGCAGGTAACACTTTTCTGTGGAGAGTATTATTGCTTAAGTAGACTCTAAGCACTAATATCCACTAACTAAGATTATACAGCATAGGGCCCTCAGACTTAATCTTTTAATCCACTGCCTTTTGTGTCCTCTGAGTAAAACTGAAATTGAACAATTACATTGATTTATCCTTTTTCTTTTTATTGAAAACACTGGGGTTGGGGGATGAGAGCAAAACAGCAGTTTTGAAACTAGTATTTGAGAAGAAGCAAGCAATAATTGTTTATTAGGCTTTACTTAAAAATAATCTTTGATTAGTTGGTGTGCCTAAGAAAGCAAACAAACAGAAAAGCAAATCATTTGCTAAATCTAGCAGTATTAATTTCATTCGAGCTCCTTAAAGAATGTTCTTAAAAAAGTTTCAGCTGCATCCTGTTTCTCATGTTGTGAAATTTTCACCTGCTTGGAATATTAGTCCTATCTGTTAGTTCTGCTGCTTCTCGGACTTCAGGAAAGGTGCTGTTTCTCAGTGGGCTAGTCTGATGATGACTGATGCTATAGCATTGTTTCTGACATTCAGTGCTTTTAGTGACTATTTAAGAGCATACATACCAATCACTATCATGTCACACATTCCTATAGCAACAACATGCTGACTTTAATCTAATTCCCTTTCCACCACTAAATGCATACACTTTCCACACTGATCCTAAAAAAACTGTAAACAGAGCAGCTCCAACTGGACCGTCTGCAATGTCACTAGAGAACAGCAAAGGCAAATGAGGTCACAAACAAATCAGCTTCAATCACTGCAAGAGCACAGCTGATGTGAAAATCCTGCACCATTCATATTGCAGAAACAAAAACCTTTAACTACATTCCACCAGGTGCAAGCAAATGACTGCCATGCACAAAGTGTCGACTTTTCTGACTGTGATGATTAGCAAGCAAGTGCTGTATAACAATTAGAGCCAAAAGGAGCCAAAATCATGTCTGGAAACTATCTTTAATGACAAACCTATCACATTATTAGTCAATGTTTCCTGTTTACCATGAAGCATGTGATAAAAGTATTGTGTGTTTATTTTTATAGAGATTCAGAATTCTAAAATGACCAAACATAAAATTTCCTGCACCCCATTCCTGTACACATAACTGCAATCCAATAAATATTTTCTGTAACAATCCTGTATTTTAAAACCCCCAAAATGTATGAACACTATACTAATCAAATACTAAGAGACTATGCCACACTTTATGACCATGAATGCGATAGTTCTTTGTTTCTTAATTTTTACAAATGGGCAGAGGAATAAAGGTGTTATTTCAGTAAGACGGGAGAAATAAGAAGTCTAAAAAAATTCATTTCAACGCAAGGAAAAGCATGACACAGGATAAATAACGTGCCGGCTATGGCAAGATATGAAGCTGTAAATGTGTAATACGCTGGCTTATGGTAAAGAAGTAAGTTATCATATGCATAGATTATGAGTGGTAAGAATAATTTAAATACTGCAAACATCAATTACACATTCATTAAAAGTCTCATCATACTGGAGCTCCATTTCCAGCCTCCTGTGGACACTTATCCACTGTATGTGCTTCTCTTGTGTGTTGCTTGGCTACGAAGCTTCCGTGTGTATTACTGCCGAAGCTTTCCCCATCTCCTCCCGACTCTCCTCTTAAATTACTTTCCTTTCTCTTTTTTCGTGATAAGAAATGTCAAAACCAAGGAAGGAAATGTGACATTTGTAGGGTAACATCAGTGTGCAGAAAAAAAAGAATGAATTTAAGAAATTGTTGCATTTTTCCACCTTGTGCACAATAAGCACTGTGATTCAAATCCATCCTGTTGGTAACCGATGAGGACACTGCGTTCCTAACGTCACCTCCAAACTCCTCAGATTGAAATAATGTTTTTTTGGAACATGGAGAGTCCCGAATAGTACAGAGGAGACAACACCATTCCAATCAATAATAATAATAATAATAATAATAATAATAATAATAATAATAATAATAATGTTTTGTTTTTGACAGATAAGATGGCTGGTTTGTGTCTTTTTTATCTCAATGAAAGTGACAGATAGCAAACTTGAAGCATTTCTGAAATACTCGTGGGTTAAATGTTATAAACACTGTGGCTGATTGTTGCCATGTGTACCAGCTGTGCCAGTGCTGGTGTGTGCATGCAGCCGGAGGCCGAGATCGTACCGGTGAAGCCCATCAGCGCGCCCTCTCTCGACTGCCGCCGGAGACCGTCGCCGTCCTGGTAGTCTATGTAAACGAGATCTATAGCCTGGAGGCCGAAGGCCTTTGCTGTGACAACCACTTTCTGCCGGGCATACAGCAGCTCAGTCGCTTCCTTCGTCCGAGAGGCGCCTAAAACACAAAGTGAGAACGGAAGATATAAAAACTAAATATAAAGATGAAACAGAATCAAAATATTGTCAAAATCCTTGGTTACATCAAGTAAGAAGTGCATGTGAACACGGCAAAACCCTGATTTAAAATGGGAGCAAGAAAATACAAGATAGACCCGACTGTCACTAAATCCCCATTCACAGGCTTTCTTAATAATTTAATTGCTTTTGAAAGTACTTGCAGCAAGTATTACAGAAGTAGGATTTAACAGCTTTTCCTGAAAGACGGGAATGTATAAAATAATCACTGTTGCTAACAATGGGCTGATGGAAACTGGATTTTCTATGGACATTTTGGTCTTCTTCATTCATAAAGATAATAATCACACATTGCAAGTGGGGAAAACCCTCTAAGTGTGTAACAGAAATTCCTAAATGCAACTGCTGACATTGATTGGTGATAAAAAGAAGCCCTTGAATGCCTTCAATGCATGCATCAGACAGAATCTCTTGCCAGTCCTGTAAATTTTTCTTTCCCTATATTTGGTTGTGGTGTTTTTCAATCAAAAACATTTTTACACATCAAAAACCGGTTAAAAATGAAAGGGATGCACTACACATAACAAGGAATTAGACAAAAAGAAAATAAAATGATAACCTATGCTGGCACAAAAATCATCTGATCCAAACACCACCCCATCATGATGAAGACCAGCCTTTGGTCCAAGCTGATGGATTTCTTCACAGACAGACTGTGAAAAAAGGGAACAAAAAGAAAGCCAAAGATGTCAGTGTGCTGAAAGGAAACATAGTTTTTGGCAAACTGTCAACTCACCGTATAAACTGCCTAGTGTTACCACTGGTATTCCCAGACTGGATATACAAATGCCTCATCTTCACATCTTATGAGAAAACAAGAGTGCAGGAGCCAGACAGATGATGAACCACTTTAAATGGATGTGTGAACCAGTGACACTAAAGTTCGATTTCACGTTAGTTAAAAAGCTGAAAATGAATATCATTGCCATCCATGTTTACTGAAAGCTGCCTTACTTACTGCTCTCTCTTCTGGTTCAAAGTAAGTGAGCTGGGGGAAGAATACAGAGCACTGCAAAACAACCCTCTGTGAAGAAAGTTTGGAATTTGATATGGCATTGTGTCAGCAATGGAGCAGTTGGAATTTGTCTGATTCTTTTGTCAGGTTCCAAATTAATTTCACTTCTCGCTGTGACACAGCGATATTTTCCTGTCAAGGCTCTGGACTCAGTCTAGCCAAAGCTGGAGAGAGGTCGTTAGAACAAACAAAACAAACAAAAAAAATTGAGTGCTGCACAATTCCCCACAAAGAATCAAAAGAACCCCCTTTTCCCTGCATTCAGGAAGACAACAATTATTTTGCCGTTTACTCGGTAATGTTTCATTTAAAGAATAACTTTGGAATGATCATGTTTCATGAAATGCAGGGTATGTTTATTTACCTATTTTTGAATTAGTAGTCTATCTTGTGCACTTTACTGAAAGATAAAGAACATCTAGAAAATTACAACCTCTTGGTTTGATTTTATACAAGCACTACTACAAAATAAGAACAAGGACATCTGCTTAGATATGGGCATCTTTTGTGTTGGCTGATTATTTCAAATGTCTTCCAAAAATTATAGATGTTTTTCCTGCACTGTTGAAACATTGTATTTTACCTTGAAATTAAGCAAACCAACTGCTGTTTCCACAAATGTAATCAAATGAATGGGTTCCACCAGAGTTCTTCCCCTCAAGAGATGCAGAAACTTGTCAACAAACTGAAAATAGAAAAAAAGACCACAAATCAACAATTTATCAATTTAAATTAATTGGGGGAAAGTGAATCAAATGGAAGTTATGTATTCCAATGGATTTTGGACTTTTGTCTGACTGACATAACAGATGATATCTGTGCTCATTTAACAGTGTTATACTATTTCAGTTCTGAAAAACACAAGAGCCCTTCTAGAGCTGTTCTGAATGATTTTTTTTCTTTTGAGATCTCAACAGTACATAACACCTTGAAAAAAGGTTTTCCAATTAGATTTCAGGCCAAGTATCATGAAATGTAATTAAGTCATAAACATTACTCGTAGAATTGTCACATTTTGATGATCCAAATAGAATTTCAGTTCACTGTGCCAGTGGGTATTTTCCTACTATTTTATTTCTTTGTACATTTCTCTGAAAAAATACTACAGTCTTCAGTTTCTTTTGAAAAAGAGACGGAGAGAAAAAAAGAATAAACGATTAAGTCTGGCTCAGAATATTTTTTTTGAAGTATTATGTAGTTTAGGGTCCCCTGATAGAAAGAATAGTGTGATTGGTATGAGAATTCTTGCCACAGAGTTTGATATGATACTTCTTATGCCCTTTATTCTGTATGATTCCCCTAATATTTTAGCTTACCTAAGAAGGCTTTAAAATGAAGTTTAGTTCTTTGAAGACCAAAGCATTCCAATTTTTTCCAAGAGACCAGTTCACAGCTAGCTTTGGGCTGCCAGTGGGGTAGCCCAAATTCCAAAATCTATCATCTGGAAACACACAAAAGCTCCCTCCGTCAGATTTTTTTCTTTCAAAGCAAGTTAAATAAAAGAAAAAGTAGAAAAAAAATAGAGTCGAAATCTGTTATTTCTCTTCCTTCCACTCCCTAAACACAGGGGATTCTAGAGAGATAAAAATAACCACAGGTAAGTAAAAGCTATTTTTGTAAATAATGACAAAAATATCCCACATACAAGCCTGTTGTAACTCAAAGAATATTCCATCATTGAAGGATTTTTTTAAAAAAGGGAATTTTAATCATCTCTCCATTCAATCTCAGTTGGATAAATCATATCTAAGAGATTTGCATAAATATAAACCATCAAAGACTTTTCATCTTCAAAGGGGTTTTCAAGACCCAATAAGCTTTGTACTGTAATCATCAGAGGTCACAACCCTGCAGGAGTAATGCTGCTATGGCAACATAAAAACTAACGCTAAAGGCTTAGCATATTATTCCCCCTAATAGAAAGAAAAATCTGTTCTAAAAGAAGGAAGCTTTTTTTGGAGGCCGCTAGTTTTCCCTTTTCACTGGCTATGTTTCCTGCATTATTCACAAGAGATTTTTAAATCAAAATTTCAAATCCATTTTGGCACTCTTGCGAGACACCAGGCTTCACGTAACGTACGAAATGCACAGCATCCTAGATTAAATGAAAGTGTACAGCAAGGCTGTACAATGTGAATACTTAACAGGCCCAGAGATTAAGAGGGCTATTAGGATGCCTTTGAATGATAGCAAATTACAGGAACATCTTTACTGGTCAGGGTATACGGATCACTGCGTCTTTAATTAAATGTTTTTTTGCTCTGGCCTGGACTGGAGTGAGCAGTGAGGTACTATGTTACAGAGCAAAACTGCCATGATGCTCATCAAGGAGGGGTGCTTGTGCTCCTCTATTGTTGTCTTATTATAGGGTTCTCTATTTTCAAGAGCAAGAACCCTTATACCTGTCAATTACTCCTCATCTGCTGACCTCAACAGCACTTACGTAGCATTAACTAAAACACCACCCTCCATGTGCAGCACGATTCCCAGCGCCCGTTCCGATGGCAGACGATGTCTGAAATTTGTGAGAAGTGCTAGTAAGAAGCTCAAGCAAGAAGGCGGCAAGCGGACAAGTTTCAATTAATTTTCCTCAAAAGGAGCAGATTAAATGTTTCCGGCCTGCTGAAGTGTTCATTTCACAGAAGAGAAAAGAGGGAGAAAGAAATCGGGGAGGGGATGGACTAGCAGGCCTAAACAATTCTTTCAGTCCCAAAGCACACCCAATAGTGTGTTGGCAAGGACGCACACTGTTCAGAATTTGTGGGAGAATTGTCTCCCAACAAAGGAGGGAGTTACGCTTGTTATAGTCCAATAAGCCATGTCAGTCAAACAAGCACCAAGAGAAGGGACAATAGGAAAGCAAGAGATTCTCACACAAAAGGAAACAAGTAAGCCCATCTTTTAGTAACAAATCAGCCTCTAGGTTCCTCTCCCAATATAAATAAAAAGAGAGGGAAAATAAACAGAAGAAGGATTTACAGTTCCCTATACAAGCAAGGGAATAATGAGCCAAATATTTCCCCATTTTTAACAAAATGGCAAAGATTTAGGACTTAATCCAAAGCTAAAAAGTTGGGAAAACCATAAACAGCAATAACAAAGCAGTTGAGACGAAAGAATCTTTTGCATCAAAATCTCATTCCTGACTGTGCTGCAGTTTCTACTTACGGATTTTAGGAATTCTACGTTTTGCAATTAGTGGGTCATTAATGATGCATTTTAACTCCCTGATGCCATTAATATACCGTATTAAAAATCTTCTCATCAAAAACAAATTAAAAGGTGACTTAGATATTTAAAATCCTATGAATTCATATTGAAACTAAGTATGGAGCAAAAACTAGTACAATATGACAAAATTCAAGATTGTCTGTTCCTAATTCTTTTCAACTACATAAAGTGCTGGGCACAAGAGGTTGGTGCTTTTTGCAAATGACATCCCACCAAACAAAAAAAATGATGTGTAGATATTAACTTGCAATACATTAGCATATGATATGTCAGTAAAATGTGTCCATTTCCGCACCACAGAATCCAGTTGGTCTGTTGGGTAGCAAGTTAAATTGTTTTTACACAAAAGCAACATTTAGCCAGTAGCTGTTCCACAACCTTATAGAAGGCTTTTGGTAGACTGAGATTACAGTCTTACACACATCCTTAACTGCAGATTAGCAGAAGATGTGTTTTTCAATTGCTTGGATCACTCGCCGGAATGAGATTGGGTTCTATTCCCTTAAAGCAGGAAATTCAGAGGCCTACGAAACCTGCAATCATGGAACAAGGATCTCTGCTCTCTTCACTGACAAAATGCGATACACACTACAGACTGATCTGCAGTGCATACAGTATGTGCCTCAAGGACCTTTCCAACCTGTGGTTTTAAGATACATCTTTCTGTGAGATAGTATCCAAACCTCATTTAGAACATTGTGTACAACTCTGGTCACCACGTTACCGAAAATATACAGGTACTCTGGAATCAGTCCAGAGAAGAGCAAACGTATGCACTCCTGGACCGAAAGGAATGTGCTACACTTACGGGCTAAAAGGACTGAACCTTTTAAGGCTTGAAAGAGAAGACTACTGGAGGACCTGATTCAAGTCTCTGAAATACTCAAAGGCATTGAGAAGTCATTGGAAGGTCCTGAAGTGACTTGCAAAGTCTAAGATGGGCTAGAAGATCATCCCATAGGAGCAACAGAACAGGAAGCACAGTCTCCCAGCATCTGGAGCCTCATTTTGTGAACTGAAAGACAGAATGTGAGAGTCCATATGTATATATTTCCATTACAATGACATGTGTTTAACCTCCTTCTGCTGCTTCCTTAAGGCCCACTTGTTCCACCCATACTTCCAGAGCCCTGAACATACAGTACAGAGCTCTGCATTGTGTTTAGATGGTGATCAGTGGATTAAGTTAAATTAATATACTCATTCCCTTTTTACAAAACCTTCTATTCTGTGCTACTGTTTTTACAGTTTCTTGTGATTCTGTTACAATAAAAGACACTTTAGTAGAAGTTGATAGTTGATAAAAATATTTTTTTAAAAACTAACTTAATAATTAGGGCCACTGCTCTTCCAAATTTATATCCATGAATAAGATTCCGGTACAGTTAGAAAACTAGTAAGATTTGCAGATGTTACCACAAAAGGAGGACTAGGCAACATTGCAGCAGCTGCAAAGGAAACTCAAAAGGATTCAGACAAAAGTTTAGACTTAGTCTTGACTTCATAGAGTTTTAATGCAGACAAAAGCAAAGCTTTACACGTGGATAGCAGAAACATAAACCATACATATAAGAGGGATACAGTGAACTTGCAGATGTTTCTGTATATATTAAATACATCTTCTAAACAGCATGGGGAAGCAATAAAAAACAATGTTAGGGTTTATAGTTGAAGGCGTTCATTTTAAATTGAGGGATGTTAGGTTACAATTGTAAAATGCAATACTCAAAATTGTGCATAATGTTGGTGGACACGCTAATAATATTTTTGCTTTTTGGAAATATATCAGGAGTGATGTATAATCCCAGAATCAAAGGAATGTCCTACACTGACAAGCAAAAAGAACTTAACCTTTTTATTCTTGAACAGAGAGAAGACTGCAGGGAGATCTGATCCAAGTATTCAAAATCCTTAAAGGTATTGACAACGTTAACTCTGGACTTTTTCAGAAATAGTGAAACACAAACCAGAGGATACAAGTGAAAGCTAAGTGGAAGTGCATTTCAAACTGAGAACAGGAGGTACTTATACACACAAAGGGTTGGGAGTCTGGAAGAAAACTACCAAGCCATGTGGTTAAAGCTGATAACCTGTCTTTTTTTCAAGAAACAGTTGGATAAGAGCCTCGGATCAATTAGCTACTAACTACTAAGTGATCCAGATGGTTTGAAATGCCTCCTCCTTGTTTGTAACCATTCTTACATAACCAGCAAGCAAGAAGACTGTACTTGTTTTATGGCCATAAACTGCCACTCTTTCTGAGCTTGTACCTCCGTTAGGTCACCGTGCAACATAATTACCTCGCAGTTCACAATCCGATACGTCCTGCTGAGGATATAAATTCCACCATGTGCAACTCACATTGAGAGCATGTTCAGTGCTACACACACAGTTAAATGTACCATATAAAACAAGAACCTACAAGCAAAGGAATTCAGGGGTGAAGGATAGACATAATAGGAAAGTATACAGTATTTAAATATAGCACATAGATATTCAACATTTCATTTCCATGTTGAAAGATCACCTTTTTATTCTGGGGCTATACACAGCACTTGTGAACTATATGTAAGGTTAATAATTCAAATGCTGCCTAACATTTTCACATACAGTACAATGTGTGGATGAGATCAGCTCTCCAATGGTCTGACCAGTTACAAGACATGAAATCCCCTCTGTACACGTGTGGGCTGTCCCTGACTGATTCCCTCATAAAGTGTCCCAATAAAACCACTTCTCAGTATGCTCCCCAGATTCTCTGTCATGGCCCTTTAACTAAAGGCAATAAATGGCCTTCTTGTCTTAGATAAAGCAAAAACTATCAGCACAAAGTATTAAGTATTCCATAGGTAAATGGCTTATAGAACACTAAGAAAAAACAATTACCAGTTAAAATAATGTGGACATCTCTAAGGGCAGCGTACAGTAGGTTAAGGCTCTGGGCAACTGATAGGAAGGCTGTAGATACAAGTCCCCTCTGCAGGTGTCAGTGATCATGTTTTTCCAGTGTTTACAGGTGTACAGTGCCTTGCCCTTCTATTGATCCAGTCCACTTAGTTGTAAGAATGGATTCCAGCAGTGCTCAGTAGGGAGTGGATGAGTGTAGTCTTAGGTATATTTAACACCCCTCCCAGGATAGTCCTGTCCTGGGGGGCTATTGCATATTTTCTTCACATCAATTGATGGAGAGCAGAATAAACTGTGACGAGCTTCTTAGCTCATTGAACAGTACAAACCTACCTAATCATTTTTTTCTTACAGGTATTAAACAAAAAATACAATTTCAATTACGTTTGCACTTCCTGGAAAGGAAAGGAAAGGAGGACTTCATAGGAGTGTACAGCAAACCACACGTTGATGGCCTGACTGATGATTTAAGACAATAAGATTCACCTTGATCACAAAGAATTTACAAAGTAAATCAATTAGCTCTCAGATAATCAAAATGTCTTTATATAAACTCAATAACAGCTCAATATTTGAAAGCTCTATGAGTGTTTTAATAACATAATTACTGTTCAAGAATGTATGTTTAATTAGTAAATACTTCAAAAAGAGTACAAAATATTAATTTCTAGGTCACAAATTGTTTTAATTTTACCAGATAAAATAGCAAGCCTGACAGATGTGTAAAATAAACCTTTTTTTTCTTGCCTCCTTTATCAAAATGCCAGAATAGTATCCAGTATTTAAAAGCCACTCAAAAGAGGAACATAAAAGGAATCTTACTTAAAGCAAAAAATATCTGAACACCTGTCGGCAATTAAAAGGAAAGAAACTGAGAACTACCCAGGAAATAATATCGGCACTAATTAAAAACACTAGTTAAAAACTTCCTGTTTCTAGCCTGAAGTAGCTGTAAGAACCAGACGGCCCACCCCCTCCCTTTTTCCATCTAGTTAAGACACTGTGACTCCATTCAGAGCCTTTTAACATTCATGTTGTGCCTCTGAATATACTGTATACGCATTTCTGTTTCACTGTGGAGCCTCAGCTCATGACTGATTAATTCACAGGACACTCTATTGCTTACAACAGAAATGGACACCAGAAATCCTCATATCTTCAACTTCAAGCAGAATCCACCTAACAGTGATCCATATGGATCCGATCAGGACACTTTTGTTTAATGATGTCACCATCTCCTGACCTGCAAGGAACTGACATCCGTGCTGAAAAACTTTTATGGAAAACCACTGGGACATTATGTCTTAGAGTGAACACTTGCCACCACATCTCCAGAGATGGTATGAGTGCCTGAGAATTTGACACAGTTTTTAACAGATGGCTGTTGAAACCTAAACAAAAGATTCTCTTCAATAATAACAAAACAATATAGTGGGCTAATATAGGCAATATTTAAGAAGCTCTAAAAACATCACACATTTTAATTTCATATAATGTTCTCATATAATGTACTCACTTCCAATTTAGGAAGGCAGTTTTCCACTATTAATTGCTTTTTGTGATGATACTTGAGGGGGTTTTCAGATCATTCAAGCAATAAATACCTAGGAGCTGTCCATGTTACAGCTGTACTGAAAAATTGAAAAACAGCATATCCCAAAGGCCTGAATTTTAATATTAACCCCAAAGACAAGCGCTCCAATCTGATAGAAAAAGATCGATATATACATATTTGATGATGATTAATCTGGACTTATCACAGATAACATTATGCATTGTGATGTTTCATGTGCGTGATAGTTGCAAAGGCAGCTTCAGCAGGGATGCTGGGATCTCTGTTGTACTGCACTGGGCTGAGGCTAAAGTCACACTGTTTTCAAGACATCTTTGGCTTCTAAGGAAAATCTCAATGTCAACTGCTTTGTGAGCAGATGCCAAGAAAAACAGTCCAAATCCCCTTTGCACAGCAGAAAGTATATCAGTTCACATTTTACAGAGAAAAGGAAAAGACCGTTATTATTCTTTTGAAGAAACCTGGAGTTTCCTTTTTCAGTCTGCGTGAAGAGGCTGTGTTTTTGTAAAGAAGATGAAAAAAAGTTAAATACCACAGATAGCATCGGGATTCTCATTTTTCTTGTTTTGCCTGCAATAGTGTTTTTGTTATTTTAGTGTGAAGCACAGTTTCAGTCACACCCTAAATGTAGTTTTTGCTAATGAATCCAACCCATATCACATGCAAATATGTAAAAGCACTTATTTGAAGTATGATGACAGAAATTAATGCTTTACATTTTATGGCTTAAGTGTAACATCTATTTTATTTTAGAGGAAAAACTGATAGTGAATTGATTAATTCATAAAATGACTAAAAGTGATGTTTTGATGATTGATTATTTTTACAGATTCACATATATTGCAGCCTATTTCACTGAAATAGTAGGCAGGGATTGCTCTGTGAGGTAAAAATGTCATTATCAAATCATTCTGATTCACATAATGAAACCTACAGTGTAGTGTGTATAAAGCATGTTTTATGACTTAGAGTTTTCTCATGTATTTGTATATTACGTAAGGCTGCTGTAAGTACAGTTTTAAATATCAAAAAGTACTGAAGACTTGTAGAAGATAAACTGATCAATAACAGTACTCACCCATTTCACCTCTTCAGTTTTCTCCACTTTAGGCAGCATCAGGGAAGGAGGCAACACCTTTGATTGCAAAATTACTTCCAGGTCCACCTCAGCAAGGCCACTTGACACAGAGTTGACACGGACACATTTCTCCGTGCGGCCCAGATTCAGCTCCTCGAGCATTTTTGGGATTGTCATTCGAGCTTCAGCCTGTAACATAAAAGTTAAAGTGGTACAGAGCAGTTATGACACTTCTGGAGCCCTTGTGAATGAACTGTTTGGATGCTACTTCTACTGCTCTTAAATTGTTTAAATTGGATCTTACTGATCATCAGCATTTTGTTCCCCTTACTTGCTTTAGTTCTAATGTAGGATTTGCTACATTTTGGTGATCCACGGGGCTCAGTACTGAGTCCTCTGCTGTTTACTATGAGTATGTCTCTCCATGGTCAAATATAAAACCATATTTGAATCACTATTTCAAAGCTATTGATACTCACATTTATGTTCACTCTAAACTTGGCACCAAGATAACAATTATTCTGTGATTGCTTTTCTGTTATAAAATCTTGGACAGCACAACATTTTTTTGTCTTATGTAAAGACTGAAGTCAAATAATTGGGTTCCTCCCATCAGCTAATTAAAACCAATGCTATAACCTTTGTAGATTGATGACATCGTACCTGAATGTCAATCCAAAATAAAGAATTTGGGGTGGGTTGATCCTGGATTGGCTATTTAGATTCATGAGTAGAATATAGTGAAGAGTTTGCTTCACCAGCTGAGAAACATTTCCAGGCTGTGTTCATGCTGGCTGTATATGTAGCTGAAAACCTTACTCATTCCTTTGTTTTTCTTAATTATCATACCACCATACTTGTAGGAGTCTCCAAACCTTCACCTGACAAGTCAGAATTTAGTATCTAGAGCCATGACTAGGTCACACACAGTGATGACACCAATCCTGTATTACAATGCAAATCCTTTCTCTCGGATTATCGAACAATCTTAAAATCATTCTGGTAATGTTAAAGGGTTCAACATGAAATTACATCTATTGAAAGTTATATTGGTGTATTGAGAGTCTATGTCCCTTTGCACACTATTTTTGCTGGGTGATAGAGCCTACTGTTGCTGGGCTCTGGAACACAGTAAGTCTCATAGTTCTACCGTACAGAAACTGCACAGCTACCCAGCCTTGTTTACAGTTAATATCCTGGCTTCTTTTTACAAAACAAATGGATAAGATCCTCAGAGCCTTAATTATCGTCTAGAAACCAGGCAATCTTAAAGCCTCTCTTATGCTCTTATGTACAGTCACTTCTTTAAAGAGTCAAATGTTATGCCCTCTGTGTTACAGTATATAACTTCAACAAGTTATCTTTTAACACCCCACAAACCCGGAAACAAAAATTATATTCACGATAACACATCTCACAGTGCTAATACAAGCAAAAATGCAGAGCGTGAAATGTTAGAGTGCAAGAGCAGCTTTTATTAGCATTAATAATAAGCATACATTCCATGATAAAAATGAAAAGTTCAACTAATTACTACAGTACATTGACTCTAAGCTAAGAAAAGTGTAGTTTTAAGTTGATGTATTATATGTAGGCTTATCTGAGGGGTACTGATCAAAATACACAACAAAAAGATAAAAATGTAATGATCTACAGAAGTCAATAATTCAAATCTTTTTGTGACAAATATACAGATAAAAGACAGGAAATTTCAGATTTGATTACATACTTTTTGGGTGGGATTATCAGCATTCAGAAGAAAATGCATGTGTGATAAGCATAACCTATTGGCCTGTTTCAGAGTTCAAAAAGAGTAGGGACTGGCGCCTGGGATTACACTGTAAGCCTGGAGTTGAGAAGGATCTTTCAAACAGGAACTCAGGATACAAAACTGCACTTAAAAAATAAAGGCCTAAGCAGGCAAAAAGGTTTTTTATTATATCTGCTCATGTAAGCCTTTAACCAGCTCACCAAACAGAACAGGAGCCAGATTACAAATGAAAGTATTGTAACAGGAAGGCTGGAAGGGAAGGCAGAGAGAAAAAAATTAATCAAAGTAAACATTCAGTCAAGTGCCTGTCAGTGAGATGGCAGCCCACAACTGCAGATTCGAAACAGATGGATGTGAACTCTACCTGAGAAGAAACGTAGGGGCTAGCAGAAATGTGGACCGAGTTAAACAGCATGAGGAAACAGTAGCTTAAGACTTGTCAGGTCAGATCAGAAGCGGGCCTCAGAAACAAGTTTGAGACAGCACTGCAGTGCGACTGATTTACAGGGTCTGGACTGGCGATAATTAGTGCAAGCTTAGACAGAGTGGAGTGATGGCTCTCTGCAGTTAAAAGAGAAGGATAATGAAGCCGAAAGGTTAATGAAACCTGAATGGAAAAAGCACCTTCAGCCAGGCCATCCTCACACTTTCCGCAAAGGCTAACACATGCCACTCAGTGGGGGCCGAAGACAGGACCGCACGGAGATGCCAGCTGACAGCAAATTGGGAAGCTCGACAATAAAAGTAAAACCAGTGTCTTGGCTCTGGATTGTCATGTTACTTGCACGAAAACTACTGCCTGTCCAAAAGTTGACGCAGATTTTTACACATAGCGTTACTGAGTAAGAGCCTATTACAAAGCTTCTTTCGCTTCCCTAAAAGTATTGCCATTCAGACCCAGGTGAAACGGGCAAAGGCCTGCTCACCCACTATGAATTTAAACCCTGAAGCCTTGATGTAAGGGTAGAAAGTTATGCAGAAATGTATCCATTCCAGTTTCAGTTTCAAAACTAAAAAACAAAGGAGAATTCTCAACTGCCCCGGAGAGTAAAGCGATTGGAAAGGATAAAAGTGATTCAAAGGGTAAAGGGACTCAAAACAAAACAGAGGTCCTTCGTGAGTCCTAAAAACAGTGCAAACACATATATCTGAAGAAAGAGCCAGAACAGCAAGTGGAGAGAAGTACGCAATCTTATCTGCCAGCTCAGGCAAATGATGCTAAAGTCTCTGTGGAATTATAGGCTTATATCAAATTGTCTTACATCTATTATTCTCTTTATTAATATCAAGCAGTCAGCTTAGTTTTAATAATGTGAGAAACAGCAATTTTTAAATAGAGATGATTCAGTCCTTGATGCTGCAAAAAAAGGCAACTTAATGTCACAACATTGCCAAGTGGCCATTACCGAGGACAGTTTTATTCCTATAAACAGGATTATCTTTGATTTTGCATGCAATGCTTTGAAAACATACATTAATGGATAACCATCAGGTTGCTTCAAAGCCCCCTGCTCTACTCCACTCATACCCCACGGAGGGTCTAAGGAATCCGAGGTTTGAGAAATCTTTGATTTGTTCCTTGAAATCTGTCGTTAAGCCTCAACCTTTACAGTACACGTCTACAGAGCTGTGCATCTTGCTCTTAATGGGGTCTTTACAAACAGCACAAGTAAGTAAAGCAGGGAGAGACCTGTGAAGAAATACATATTTCACATCACTTCCAGTAAAACAGACTAATTTCCCCGAAATACTGCTCTGGTGTGTCTTTAAAATAATAAAAAATAGCTTCCCACAAAAAGAAATTTATAGAGTATATTTTCAGAAGCACAAAGATTTGCTTGAAGATAAACTGCATGTACCCTTCTTTAATAAATCATAGTGTAACAGATGCATTTGTAAATATATATAAGTGGCACGCAAATAGTATAGTATTTTAATAGTATAGAATATCATGTATATAAGATGTTTTCATGTGAGAACTGACAGATTGCACATCCACAATGCTGCTTAAGGTTTCTAGCCAGTGCCTGAATGATGCCACAAGGCCTCTGGTTTTACCTACTTAAACTAAATTGAGGATTTAAATTAGCAGTTTGCAGTACAGCAGATTAATTATTGTGTATTGAAGCAAGGCTTCCTTTTCTTTTTTGAAGAGTAATATTGATCACAGTTATTCAGTCTAATTAATAATGATGTACACATAATAGATTATATACTTAGCTTGTCCTAAAAATATATTTCTTGAACTTCTTATTTGGATTTATGTCCTATGTCTGAACTCCAACAGTTTTTCCTCTTCAGGTGTACACATTTGCATATTAGTACACTAAAAGCTGCACAAAGGCTACACTAAACTCAGATCCAGAAATAAAAGATACAAAAATAAACAAGGGCAATTAAATGTAAGCGATGAACTTTAACTTTGTTGTAGGTGGCTTTTAGACCTTAAAGCATTTAAAAAAGAAACAGATCTTTAATCTTGCTTTAATCTTGCCTACTGTGCATTGCAGTGACATACACAATACATCATACAATTTTGAAAAGCAGATCATTTTTTTATAAAAGTTCACTCTTAATGCCTGATGGTTTGAGGGTAACTGGAGAACTAATGATACATTAGACACTAATGATATATTCTCCTACAAAGATATCTAAAACATATTGCCACTCACACATAGAATTTAATTTCAAAAGTGCTCAAAATAAGATGAAGGTCATACATGCTTACTTTTCACATCAGAACATTTAGTGTGCTGCCTTTCTGGATCAATGATGCAGTAAAGTTTCTAGTTCTGTGACAATGCAATAGTAAAAATTATAAAGCAAAAGCAACCAAGTGAAATGTTCTGCCTCCCTCTTAACTTTGAGGATGACTTGACATATCAAATTAACTATTAATTTATGTATGAGGACATTTGTGTTAATGGAAAGGGGTGAGGAAATGACAGAATTTACGTTTTTGCTCAAAGACTGCAATGAGAAACATTTTAACAGTACAAACCCTCACATCTGATCCTGTTTTGAAGTTAGTAAAGACCATTTCTCTCTCTACATTTAATAAAGCTAATATTGAGGTGCCTGTTTGTTTCTTTTTTTCTGCCACGATAGATCCGTAAATATTGTTGTTGCTTTTTTAAGATATAAAGCATGAGTCATCCATTTTTTTCTGGCATCACAGCATTTTGCAACCTGCTGTGCAACCTATTATGCCATCTGCAATGAGCTGTGGTTAAGCACTGAAGGAGAGGCAGCCTGTAGGTGTCTGAGCTTTTCTAGCACAGAGTCTCCTGATGGTAACATTTTGACAGGTGACAAACTGAATATATTAACAAAAAACAATTATACTTTAATAATTTACTTTAGTAATGTATATTATGTACATATTAAATGCCATATATTAAATAAATAAGCCTATAAT